AAAAAAAAAAAAAAAAAAGACAAGAAATTGCAGGTTTTAGAATGTTACCCTAGATTTATGGCTCACAGGTTGCATTTCAAATTGAAGACATGTTATTAACTTAAAATATATGAATATGCATGAATGACAAGAAATGAAAAAATGGCTCTTGAGCCATCCTCTCGACCCCTACATCCAGAATCACTCAATCCCCCATTTTCAGTATTTGAACAAGGTTAAAATTGGTAACAAATTTGTATACTTTCATAGAAACTTTAAGAATGCACTTTCTGTGAACTATAATAACCTCCGTTCTTTTAGTACCAAAATAAAACTGTCATAACCAAATCTACTAATCTTTCAAATAAGCAGAGACTATCATGCTTATAAATACTTAAGACGGCTCTGTAGAGTTTACTGTTAAAATGAAAACACTTTATCCGACAAGAGTTTCCTAATATGAATTTTCAATCTAATAGGTCTATCCACCATTTCTGAATCCATTTATACAGTTAACCATGCAATTACTATATATGCAAATTGGGCTTAATAACTCTCTAAAAAATTCTAAAGTATATGCTAAGTTTTTCTACCTGTATTTAAACAGGTACAATAGCAAAACAGCAGGTGTAAAAAAAAAACAAAAACAATATTGCAGAGTCACCTAGATGTTTATTATTTATCCTAACTGAAAAATAGTATGCAATGGTTTTAAGTATAAAGTGCTTCCTCTCTCCAAGAAGAGCACTCAGGGACAGAGTGCTGTAAAAATACTAATATGCCACTAGATTAAGTTTACACTTAGTGCTTCAGTCACCAATTTGGAATTCTGTTAATCAGAACACCACAGACGGCAGGGGGACAACATATGAGTTAAGAACTACTGGCTTAGTTTTCTATTAGATTTTTTTTTAGCCTCTCATGCCTTACCTTGTTGATTTTGGATTCTTCTCTGAATATTTTCTAGCCCATGAAAACTGCCTCTTCAGTTATCAATGACGCTTATCTTCCTCCACCAGATTTTTACTCACATGTCTCGTCAATATTTTTGAGCCATTAATGAAAACGTCCGAATTAAATCAACTTCTCATGTTACCCTCAAAAGAATTTTTACTTGTTTCAGGAAAACAGCAAAATTTGGACCTTTTTATTTCCACAATGTTAGTAATCTCAAAGGCATTCTTTGAGATAGTTATACCTAAATAAAACCATACAGAAAAAAATTAATAGTACAATTTAGTCAATTAATGAGGTTGTACTGCTTCTAACTGAGGAAAAAGGTGTTAACATTAAACAAATTTTCTGGAAAGTAAGGGATAATCTATTGAGTAGGTTTCTCCTCTCCTCAGGAACACCCAGGATTCTACAATTATTCTACTTTAAAATAATTTAAAAAAAAAATTCAGGATGTGGGCTTCCCTGGTGGCGCAGTGGTTAAGAGTCCGCCTGCCGATGCAGGGGACACGGGTTCATGCCCTGGTCTGGGAAGATCCCATATGCCACGGAGAGGCTGGGCCCGTGAGCCATGGCCGCTGAGCCTGTGCGTCTGGAGCCTGTGCTCCGCAACGGGAGAGGCCACAACAGTGAGAGGTCTGCGTAACGCAAAAAAAACCAAACACACACAAAAAACCAAGATGTAACTAGCCACACATCTCTAACTGAATAATCAGACTATCCACCCAATGCCAACATCTTTGGAAAATAGTCAAATTTAACAGAACAGAAAAAAAAATTAGAGTGGTGTAAGCTTTCCTAAGGTATCATTAGGAAATATCACGTTTTGAGAGGTTTTAAGAAATGAGATGCTTAAGAACTAGATTAGAAATGCACATTCTTGGGCTTCCCTGGTGGCGCAGTGGTTGAAAGTCCGCCTGCCAATGC